GATCTTGATGAGTGACCTCGTCTGGAGGTATCTCGCCATTGAACGCCTGGACCTGTTGGGCCAGCTCTTCAGCCGGCCGCGGCTTCCGCCTCACGCGAGCGCCGCCTCTTCTGCTGGGCTTGAAGACGCATTCGCGCCCCCGACTTTTACACTACATCATGTCAGTCGCCCTTTTGAATGCATGACTAGAGTACTGGGTAGGGCTGGAATGAAACTTACACTAGCGCATGGGCTTGCTCCATCACATCGTGTACGTGAAGCTCGACTATCTACTTGTTAGCCAAGGATCCAAAATATGTGTGCCGCGGTCAAAATAGTGACTGTGTCTTAGACGATGACTATGGCCAACATTTCCTCTCGATGACCAGTAGATGGGAAAGACATACCAGGCAAGGCAGGCGATCTTGACCGGGGGTGTTGCAAATTTCTTCTTTGCTGCGGAAGCCGGACCAGGAGGTACAACGGCTTCTATCATTGTACTCATGGCCGAATGTGATGATAACGATACACAGACTTGGTAAAGTGAGGTCAACTGCGTTGGTCAGAGAGACGGATGACTACGGGGGGCAAAATTGAGCGAGACAAGAATCCTTCCGGGCGGATCGGGGATTGTCACACGGAGCGGGGTCGGAGTCGTCCGGGCTTGGGGCCTTGTTTGCGCAATCCACGGTTATAAGGTGTCTGGGTTCGAGACGGCGCGCGGAAAAGTCGGTATCGCGGGATTGGGTACGTAATAAGATGAAATGGTAGCGATACGGGGGGAAGTGCTAGGTGAGTCGAGGTGTGGATGACTGGATGTCTGCCACAGCCGGGCCGGAGAGTGATCTGGAGCTTCGAGGGGTGTTTGACAGCAAAAACGGAGGAGAGAGGAGAAGAGACAACAGGTGAGAGAATTGTCGCGGCCGTTGTTGCCAGCTGGTGAGGTGCGATTGCAGTCGCGCTTTCCTTCGCAGTTTGGTGATACCTGAGGTAAGGTAGGTACGATACACGGTGCGGGTGGTGGCAGGCAGGTGCTGAACTGCTGATGCAGGCAGGAGCTCAGGTGTAGGCAGGTGCAGATGCAGGTCGGCTTGGGTGCGGTTGGCGAATTGGTGCAAGTGCAGGCAGGAGCTGATGGTGCCGGTGCTGGGTGCTGATTCCGTTTGCTGTTGCTTCGTGCCTTTCTTTCTCAAGTCGGTGACACAGGGGCAAAATGCGGCGACCGGGTGGGATTTGTAAGGAGAAAGCAACACGGGCAACAGTTTGACTGGACAGGGAAGGGTGGGGGAAGGCGACCTGCGGATCGTTCGATCGTGACAGGGCTAGGACGGCACGCTGCGACTTTCAATTTTCATATGGCCATGCACTGGCAGGGCTGCCTGGGATCATTGGGAATTGGGATGTACTTTTTCTGTTTTGGTCCCTCTTTCTCGTTCGCTCCTGCCTTTCCCTCCATATCCTTTCCGAGTTCTTTCCTCCCCTCCCTCTCTCTCGGGAGTTGAGATGGAGAAGGTGCGTGGGTGTCACTGTCCCGGGGTGAAGGGCAGGTGGAGACGAATGGTGGAGAGGATTCCTGGATAGACGACAGAGTTGGCCAATCGCATCGGAGAACTGGGGCTAAGTCACCCAATACGTACCGAGAACTTGACCCAATGAGAAAAACCTGCGCACAGTGTTGCAGCTGGCTCGGCCGGTCTTTGAACAGGGATGATGCACAGCAAACTTTGTGAAGTCGCACAGTACACAAGGGGCGATGTAGCTCTCTCTCGCTCTCAGAGAAGGTGCTCTCACTGCTCTTGCCTCCCCGAGCTGGCGTGGAAGCAACCAAATCCTCCCCCCGTTCCTGACTTGACCTGACACGAGTAACGACCCGACCGTCGCTTCCTGACCTGGCATGGTGGCATCCGCGCATGGAAGGTACCTAATACCTCGCCTCCTGAGGTGCATGGAACCTGCCGTTCCTTCTTGCTGCGGTCTCGCCGTCTGCTCGCCGTTGACGCCCCGTTCCTAACACCCGACTGCAGAGCCCGAGCCCACGACTTTTTGACGTCAATTCCGCGTTTCTTCTCCGCAACTTTTCTCTATGTCCCCATCAAATGTCCGGACGGTCGCTTTTCCTTGTTCTAGAACTTCAAGCGGTTGTCGAAACGGATTCCAGCATGACTAGTAATATCAGCAATGCCAACCATGCCAGTAGTGCTAGCAGCTGGGAGATTCCTCTGCATCACACGTGTACCCTAGCGATAGCAGCCTGGAACTTGGGCGTCACGTCACGTCTTGACTTCGCGATTCATTCTCCCTTCTCATGGTCGACCAAGGAATAACTGATTAGTAGCCTTTGGTCAGCATCTAAGCTTCGATTTAGACTTCCCCCTCCATCTTTCTACGTCGTCCACTCGTACCGAAACTTCCCCCGACCAGTACCGCGTATTCCAATCAGGATGCCATCTCATCTCAAAGTATCCGATGCTTCGAAGATCAAAGCTTCAGCCTATCGACGCTGACAAGCCGTTGCTACCCAGCAAGCTGTACTGTGATACAGCATTCCGAGCCGAGACCATTTTTGGCCACATACATAAATATGAGTGGCACGCCTCTGTGTCAAACATCGTCGAACCAACATGCTCGCTTGGACATCAAGAAAAGGTTTTCGAACTATGGTGCGACCAACCAACATCGCCGTCTTGCCCCAAGCCCGGCATTCCTAACCCTGCAGCCGAGCATTCTCCAAACAGTGAACACCCAAGCTCCCGAGTCAGGTCCCATAAATCGCGAGCGCACAACATCCTGGTCACTCCGCACCGCACCCCGCCTGCCGTTCACACCCCCACGCCGTTGCCCGCAAACATGCTCAATGCGCACGGGACATCAGCTGGTGAATACAACGTTGTCGGCCGGCTTGGTATTGACCGTCAACGAACTGAGACGACTTGTCAGCTTTGGATCGGCGCATATCATATCCAGGTTCATCTGGCTTGTCACTTGTCAATGTCTAAAAAGGACCACTTACAAGATGTCGGGCCGGGAGTAGCTGCCGATGGGGTCAAAGTCCAGCTGCAAGGCGCCGTTAGTTTGGAATCTATCTCATGACTAGCGGATGCCCGCAGCCTGTGTCGGGGAACTTGCCTTGGACTCCGTGAGGTCTGCCATTCGGAGGCTGGCATAGATGATCTCTTCCTTGTCCCACACTGGCTCGGCAAGAAAAGTTCCCAGCGGCCCGACGATGCATGAGCCACCGTGGTTGAGAATGTCATCCGCTTCCCATTGTGCTCCGTCCGGTCGCCGGTCGGGGTGCTCGGCCGTAAAAGGCGGGTAATCAGGCGGAAAATCCGACACCTTGCAGAATGAGTTGACAGAAACTACAAAGCAACGTCCTTCCTTCGCGATATGCTGCATCGATGCCGTCCAAGTGGCCAAATCATCGGCGTGGGGCGCCACGTAGATCCTATCAAGTGTGGGTTGTCAACCTCAGCGACTATTTCTCTCTCTTTGACGACAGGGCGGATCAACGTACTCAATGCCTTGTTGGTACATGGCCATGCGAGCCGCCGGCATGTAATTCTCCCAACTGCGTCTGCATTAGCATGTCTTTCCATCAATACAATCAGGGACAATGGGACCCAACCAGATCAAGCTTCCGACTCTGCCAATATCCGTTGGCTTGACCAGCAAACCATCCCCAGCGCCTCGACCCCAAACAAGTCTTTCAGCTGCCGTCGGAATCAGCTTATACGTGTTAGTCTCGAATCCGAGTTATGGATCGGCTGGATCACCTTGCGATGCTTGTACACCAGCTTGCCGTCCCGGTCGAGAAGCAGCGCGGTGCAGTACAGCGTACCGCCCGCCTTTTCAATGATGCCCACGTGGAGGAGAACGTTGTTTGCCTTGGCCGTCTCGCACAGCCTATCGAACGCAGGAGAGGGAACCTCGACCGCCGAATCGGCGTACTTGGCATACCACTCGCGCCCTGGGATTGAGAAGTTAGCGGCGGCCTCTCTCTATCTAGGCAGGTGTCCAAAAGTCTACCTCGCTGCTCTCGAGCACCAATCGTTGCGTCAAACGCGTATCTCCATGGATAAGCAGACAAAAACCCTTCACTTCAAGCTTTTAGCGGCGGTATCTTTGCGGGACCATCAGCGTTGTGCACTTACGGGAACACAACTAGATCTGCGCCAGCCTGAGCAGCTTCCTCCGTAAGCTTACTCAGCTTCTGCAGACTCTTCTCCAGATCAAAGGAAACAGGGGCGGCTTGGACGGCCGCAACCTTGACGATGGGACGAGTGGATACCATTTTCGATCACGTACAGCTTGACAACTTTGGTAACTCCCGGGATTGGCGACTAAAGTGCCACTGTGCCAGCAGTTATGGCTTTCAAGGACCTCTCTCTACGTGACCCATCGTGACTCACGTCACGACAGGGCGTCGTTGTCACTGGATGGTCTCACTATCGTTCGAGATCGTCGATTTGGACGCGTGCATCCGGGATACTCCGGAAAAGAGGCGACGCTGATTGCGCGGAGTTTGGATCTTCGGGATTATGGCTCAAATCCCGGAACATCTTCAAACCCCGGTTCGTGGAGGTTGAGAGGGTGATCCGCTATCAAATTCTCCATCGATAGATGATAGGGGTATGCGAAACCATTAAGCAGAAAGCTTTGGTATGAAGCAATCAGAATGCGAGACTGCGCCGCGGGGGAGTATGGGCGGGGGTTTACTTGAGGCTTCCTCGATCCTTGCTAGCTGACGGCACTTGCTTACAGCGAGAAGCAATTGTATGTTCGACCTTCAACATCTTTAATTCTGAACGGATAAGACATCATTTGCATCAAGTTCCGCAAAATTGTTGCTATCCGAAAGCAAATTCGATCGGTCAAAGTTGGAAATAAGTCTCTGCCATTAAAATTGACATACCGCTGTCAGTAACACCTAAGTGAATTACCGCCACCAGAGGCTACACCCACCCTTCACTTATACCTTTGAGCCGTTTGAGATTCTGCTCAAGATTTGGTAGCTCGGAAAAATGGCTCTCTGTAAGTTGTTAACAGTTCTGTACACGCAAAGGTGTTCTTTGACTAAATGCAATCACCAGTGCTTGACTCTGATCCGAATCCCGACAACTTCTACGCCCGACTCATCCGAGGCCAACGATTCGCCGTCATTCCAAGATTTCCATTGGAGTCGGGCGAAGAGCTCTTCAACTGTCCAATCGCATACAAAACATGGGGAAAACTGAACGACCAATGCGACAATGCTCTAGTCATATGCCACGCTCTGACGGGGAGCAGTGATGTGAGCGACTGGTGGAGCCCTCTCATAGGACCCGGGAAGGCCTTTGACCCTCGACACTTTTTTATTTTTTGTGGCAATGTCCTAGGCTCCCCCTATGGAAGTGCGTCTCCTTTGACCATCAACCCGAGCACTGGTCAGCGATATGCCAGCGAGTTCCCCCAGACGACGGTCAGAGACGATGTTGGAGCACACAAGACGGTACTTGACGCCCTTGGTGTCAAGTCAGTAGCAGCCGTCGTTGGAGGCTCTATGGGTGGCATGACAACCCTCGAATGGCCTCTCTGCACACAACCAGGATTTGTGCGAAACGTAGTTCCTATTGCCACGGCTGCTGATCACTCTTCCTGGGGCATATCTTGGGCCGAAACCCAACGACAGTGCATCTACTCCGATCCAAAGTTTGACGACGGATACTACGAGCCGACACCAGATGGCCAGCCCTCGGCAGGACTTTCTGCAGCTCGGATGATTGCCATGCTGACATATCGTTCTTGTACGAGTTTCGACAGTCGCTTCGGAAGAAAACCGCCACGAAATTCTCAGATACCTCAAGAACCACCTTTAGATCTTCCGAGGACAGACGCATCGATCATTGAATCGCCGAGGTCCAAGAGAGACAGCGGCCCGCAGCGGAAACAAAATCCATCATTTTCGGCCCAGGGATACCTACACTATCAAGGACAGAAGTTTATCAACAGATTTGATGCCAATTGTTATTTACACATCACCAATAAGATGGACAGCCACGATGTCGCCCATGGTCGGACGCAAATATTCGGCGACGAAGGTCTGGCAGAGGTCTTGTCCCAAGTACCGCCAGGAGCCTTGGTCGTTGGCGTGGAGACCGATGCGCTATTCCTCCCGGAGCAACAACAGCGGCTTGCCGCTAACCTACCCAGTGCATCATTACATGTTCTTAACTCATCTGATGGACATGACGGTTTTTTGCTCGAGTTCGAGCAACTCGATACCGTGATCCAAGCCCAGCTGAGATCTCGATTGCCGAGTCTCTATGCCATGATACATGAGTCAGATGGATCGGCGGAACTTTCTATAATGGATGAAGCTGGGGAAAGCTTGACGGGAGAAGTCGAGGATTGGTAGAGCTGCGTAGCTCAGGCTTTGTGTCAAAGCCCGAAATAAGAGGTGCCCTTCAGATGGACGAGCCGCCAGGCAAGCTATTGGCAGCCTTTGGCAGCGGCTTTACCACGTCACTGAACACACTTGACGTAAATAGAGACCTCTCTCCTGCTTTACACATCGTTTCGACGCACTTCACTTGTTACTGGAAACTTTATGATCACTTGATGGGAAGAGAGAGGACAGGGCGGACGGTTTTCTTTACACCTGCAAAAAGCGCTTCTGCTAGGGGTTCTACATGGACAACAATTCAGGAGTATCAACCGACGATGGAGCAATGTCGTTACAACAGACTACGTTAAGATCACCCAAATCATTTGCGATCTAATCGAGGCGCCTTGAACAAGATAAATCAGATTTCCCAGGCTGTAGGGATTGAGGAACAGCATTCTTCGACCTCGTCTTCAAAACGTCTCCAATGCACATTCTGGACGATGAGAACGACGGCCAATGCTTCTCTACAGTGTGCGCCGAAGGGCACACACTTTATCGTCAGCCAGCCCCAGCGCTACGACATCCTGCCGGATTCACGGACCAAGCATCGACGCTTCGTATGTGGCCAAGCTGGAAGACGCCCTTGTTAAACGGGCCTGCAGCCTTCTTTGTATGCAACGGGAGGATCCGTCACGGATGCTTGTCAGCTAGTCTTGTCGCAGTAATCAATTGGCCGGCGGGAGCCACTGACAGGCGTCATGTCCGAGGATCAATCACCGCCGATGTCACTTACACAATCACATACATGGATAGTGGCGGCCACAGATTGCAGAATATGGCATCCCGCATTTAGCACCAACTTTGCGCCGGCGCAATCCAACTACACTTTGAGCTCGCGCCAAAGACGAGGAACGCCGCTCCGAAACCGATGGAGCGAAGGTGTTTGGCGCAGTCGCCGAGCGGCTGAATCCCGTTGTCATAGTAGCTTCTAGTCTTCAAACCCCGAGCCGGGATTTGGCCCACGATCATGCAGCACTCACCGACGGACAAACTCCACCCATCCCGAAGAGTATCGCCAATGGCAGCAATTCTCTGGAAAATATGCCTTGGAGGTGTGGAAATATGCAATTGTTCATTCCGCAATGGACTTTGGCCGAAGGAGTGCGTCCGTCGCCGACCTCGAGTCCCCCTCGACCAAAGTCGACGCCGGATGTCAAGTTGCTATTGCCTGCTCGCCGTCGTGCTTTGCAATCCATCCTTCGAACGCAATGTCGCCTGAGAATCTACGGCAGGAAAACACAACGATATATGGAGTCTAATAAGGTCAAGTCACTTGAGCACATCTCAATCTGAATTGAACAAGGTCCACAGCTCTCCGGCTCCCGCTCGACTGACTCTTTTCCGCTGTCCCACGCGCAAGACAGGTTTGCCATCCTCCAGTCTGCCCAGTCCCACCGCCAACCATGGAGACCTCCAGAGAAAACAGGCCATGGCTGGTGCAGAAGTACGGTGGTACTAGCCTGGGAAAACTTCTCGAGTCGATCTGCAGCAAAATCGTCCCATCCTACCTGCGAGACTACAACCTGGTCGTCGTCTGCTCGGCCCTCTCCGGTTCCACCAAGTCGAGCGGAACCACAAGCCTGTTGCTTGAATGTGTATCCCACGCTGAGGCCGGACTCTCTGCGCAGACTCTGCTCAACAAGAACATTGATGCGATTCGAGATAGTCATGTCCGGCTTCTTGAGAAGCATCTCGTCAACTCCAATGGCACAAGAAGCGACTTGTGTAACGATATCTTCGACACCACAAAGACGCTCATTGTCAAGGAATGCGAGAGCCTTCGGGGCTTCCTACTCGCCGCACAGATCATCGGTGAGCTATCTCCAAGGGCACGGGACCGTGTCATCGCTCTCGGAGAGAAGCTTGCGTGCAGAGTTGTGGCTGCGTTCCTGTGTAGCAGAAATATCCCGGCCGAACCCATTATCCTCGAAGATGTTGTCGAAGCGGTGTTTGGTGCTAGCGTATTCGACCAGAAGACTGCATTGGACAACCTCGGTCCCAGATTCTATCACCTCATTGCCGATGAGATCACCAAGCGTATACATGACTGCGGCGACCATGTTCCCATTGTCACCGGTTTCTTTGGTATCATGCCAGACTCGCTGCTCAAGAACGTCGGCCGGGGATACTCGGATCTCTGTGCGGCCATGTGCGCGGTGGGAACCAAAGCGGCGGAACTTCAGATCTGGAAAGAGGTTGATGGGATCTTCACGGCAGACCCGAGGAAGGTTCCGTCGGCAAGACTGTTAGCCACAGTCACGCCGGAGGAAGCTACCGAGTTGACGTACTACGGAAGCGAAGTGATACATCCCTTGACGATGGATCAGATACGTTGCGCCAACATACCCCTGAGACTGAAGAACGTTTTCAACCCGACGGCATCCGGCACGATCATCTACCCCTCTCGAACACCCTCCCCTCCCCTTACGCCTCCAACCCCAATAGACGAAAAAGTTGATGTCAAGATCCCACTACCTTCCATCGACTACATGTTAGGAAACGGCTATCACGGAGATCGGCAGGAAAGAAGGCGACCTACAGCCGTCACCGTCAAAGAAGACATCCTCTTGGTCAATGTGGTTTGCAATAGGAACACCAAGTCTCAGGGTTTCCTGTCCGGTGTGTTTGACCGCCTCGAGGACGCGGGAATTAAGACGGATCTCGTCACTACCAGTGAGCGTAGCGTTAGTCTCGCGTTTCAACATTCAGAAGAGGGCTCTTGTCAACACCAGAGGTTGAGAGTTGAGCTGGAGAAGTTCGGAAAGGTAAGCCCTTCGAATTCGGAAAAGTCCCTCGTACTTTCTTTACACCTGGAAATGAAAACTGATCAAGGGCGTCGTACATACAGGTGATTATCACAGAAAACATGTCAATTGTCACTATCGTCGGACACAAGATGAGAAATATGGTCGGCATATCAGCAGAGATCATGTCTGCCCTAGCATCAGCCAAGATCAACATCTTCATGGTGAGCCAAGGAGCCAGCGAGATCAACATATCGTAAGTTGTCTACCCCTGCCACCTTCCCCTTGGACCATCACCCATGCTGACCAATGCAAAACATCAGTCTCGTCGTCCGCGCAGAAGACGCAGTTCTCGCCATGAATGTGATCCACAGCAAAGTCCTCCACATTCCAACACACTGGGAGCAGGAGACAAACTTCATCAAAGGTGCGGAGACCCAGCAGCAGCAGCAGCGGGCCCGGCTGGCTCAAAACGTTGTCGTCGGGTCCTGTTACCGACCACCGCCGCTTACACACCCCTCTTCCAGGTCCATGGCTCTACTGACAAAGACGAATGCGGCGGCGGCGGCAGGGGTAGCAGTGCATAGTCGGAGGTCGACTATCGATCGCGTCGCTGTCGGGCCTGCTGAGGCCGCTGCGTATCGGTATATTGTGAAGAGGTGGTTGAAGAGGAAGAGGCAAGTTTGAGCTATCCAGGGGGCTACGAATTGAGTCTTGGGGCTTATTCGGGCGTTGGATTTGTCATTGTCGTTATTTGTTGATGGTTAGCATTCTTTGGAGTTGCATGGCGAAAGGTGGGAGATATGATCTGTTTCGTGCTTGAAAATATCACCAGATACCATTGTTTAATCGATCTTTTCTTCAGATTTCTTACATGCTTGTATCCGACTTGGGGAGACTTTGTGTGTATGCGAGGGGGTATGCACGATAGCTTCATTGATGGTATTATAAGATACCCCTAAGGTATTACGCAAGGAACTTCCGAATCTCTACAGCAAGTGTTGGGTATCAATGGTGTATTTCTTCAACTTTTTGACGCCTGATTTCCTGCTTTCCTGCTGTGCAAGTTGCCAGTGTTGAGTTCCTCAAACTTCACTTGTAGGCTACTATCACGAGCGTCCGGCTGGGCTATTACGGGTTGTAGGTAAGTAGATTGTGACACACCGCCGCGAGCTACATGTTGATATTGATCCGCTGTTCAACTGTTCGATGTTCGGTTTACAAAAGTTTATGGCTCTCTTGATCATCGTTGTCAGCGTCTAGTCATCTTGATATTCTTGGTCTGCCTCGGTTGTGGTCTGGCATCTGACCGAGAAGACGGCCGATGTTATTGGTGAATTGGTACTCTAGGGTTTGTGAGACTGTTAAAGGCGGATGAAGCTTTGTACTGACATTTCCGATGATGGAAGATGATGTTTGGGGGTTTGATGGAGCCGCTGGATGGACTGGGTCATTATTTTTGCCACGCTTGTATAATACGCCTCCTAGTCTAAGAAGTTTGTCATGGGATAAGCTCATCCTAGAATAGGTCACCAGGATGGGTTCTCCTCCGGAGGTACGTAAACATGTCATGATCTCGAGGCTCTAGTGCTTCACGGCTGTGATATTTCTCGATTGTCAATCATCTACGTTGCTGATATCATGGGGCTATTGAATTCATTCTATTTGATTGCGAGCCACTTGTATCTGCAACACAAAGCCCTCACCCCAGTTGAGATACGGCACTAAGCCGAATGACTTATTAACAAGGGGATCCATGATCCCTTGGTACATCATATATGACTCCTCGAGAAAACGTGTAGATGTCTAAATCCTGCAGTCATTGAGCCCTAGGTTTCGTGAGATGTGTTTTGTGACCGAACAAGACCGGTGCGTCATCCCCAAGATGTCCCTGAGGCTCGTATTCTGTCCCAACCTCCAGCCCTGCCCAACTCTCTAAGCTGACCATTGATGGCCTAGTTTTGCATAAAGCGACCAAGTTCCGGGGACTTAGGCTTGAAGACGTGTTCAGCATCCTAGGTCCACCCATCTCCATCAGATACATGGCCGTGTGTCCCACGTCGTTGAGTTACGATTGCGCTCGAGAAACGGTAACTACAATGAACGGACATATAATACCTTAGTCAACTGCGATGTTACAGGCGGCGGCTATTATATAAACATGTTCTTCATTCATGCACATATTCCATTGCGGCATGGTAGCTACGGGCCTTGTCGGGACTCCGA